TTTTTGGACACTTCAGATTTTAATACAATTAATCAAAGAGAGTTTCTCTTAATTTTCTGGTGGAATCCAGTTCCCTTGTTACTCAAGGTTTTCGTTTGAAACCTTTATTGCTTGTGCTGCGTCAGTTTTATGTTTGAGATTTATTTTGCCCAGGCTCGTCGGAGTTTGCCCAGGCCCTTCGAAGATTTATTTTGCCCAGGCCCGTCGGAGTTTGCCCAGGCCCTTCGGAGATTTATTTTGCCCAGGCCCGTTGGAGTTTGTCTAGGCCCTTCGGAGATTTATTTTGTCCAGGCCCGTCAGAGTTTGTCCAGGCCCTTCGGAGATTTATTTTGAGGTTTATTTTGAGTTTGCCCAGGCCCTTCGGAGATTTATTTTGCCCAAGCCCGTCGGAGTTTGTCCATGCCCTTCGGATGTCTTCTTAATACGATGCCTTGGGAGGAAAATGATAATGTTTCAATGTGTTTTTATTGGATTTAGAATTGTGATAGATCTGAAATGTATAGTTAGTTCTGTTGTAAAATAATTGTCTATTATCGGAGTTATGCCCGTTGTGAAAGAACTACGTGTGGCTTGATCCCTCACCCAAGGGTACGTAGGCAGCCTGGGGTTTCACCTAGGTGCAGCCACGAATTATATTGTGTTTAAAAGGTTTGATTTATTCTAAGTATGGGAATGGATTTTTTTTGTGGTTGTTGGATTTTGAACCCTAATTATTACTATTGTTGGGTTCGATTTGAATATGTTGGTATGCTTGAAGCTTGATTTAAGCTTGAGCGAGATTAAATGCTTGTTTATCCTTCAATTATCACCTGATTGAATTCTATTAAACAGTGTACATGGTTCTGACAGGTCTGAGGACTTTTTTTGAAGTAAACGATTGATTTTAGGTTTGGTTATTTTGTATAATGGCTAGTGGTTTTGCCTTGATTTTATTTGGAGGTTGGATGCCTATTCCGTAAACTGTGTGTATTGCTTTGTGTGTGCTGCCAGTTGGGTTATAAATGTGTTTTATGTAGGTTGGAATTTTTGGGGAATGTTCAATTTATAGGGGAGACTCTGCCGAAATTTTCGGCAGAAAGTCTCGTGCTCTTTTCCCTTAATTTGGAAATGAGGCTAAATTTTTAGTAAGTGGGCTCGACATCGGTGTGATGTCGGATTTTCCACAGAATTCGTCTCGAGTTCCGAGGAATTCGGGGCAGGTCCTATCAACATGCAAT